CATTGCATGACATGGGTGCACTTACCTACATGCAGGCAACATACACATACATATAAAATACAGGGCAGTTACTGTAGCTTCTGATAGTGCTGGGGATAGAGGGACCTATCCTGCTCTGGCCCCTACTGTCCACTTTTGCTCCCAGGCTACAGACGAAGACTCAGGAAAAAACGGAGTCGTCACATTCGACATCCTGCAAGCGAATTTTGTCTCCAATGATGGGGTCAAGACCCCTGTTCAGGTCTTTGAGGTCTCCACCTCAGGGGACACCAGCCCATTCACTGGCAGCATCGAGTAACTTGGCAACACCTGGATGCGTGGGGCAGGAAGCACTGGAAGGTGAGGGAGGGCCCTCACCCTAGGGTTACAGAATAGAGCTGTCTTCCTACCTCCCATAGGCTGAGGACCAGCCTTGATTCCACTGTACAAGGCACATACCAGGTGACAGTCCAAGCCAAGGACAATCCTTACATAGGTCCTGCACTGGAAGCCCAAATCACCTTGAATGTGAGTACCAGTCTCTGCCTCCAGCCTCCAGTGCCCTCTGCTAGCCCCACATTCCTGGTGCTTCATCTTCCCATCCCCTCCTACAGCTCTTCACTGTGGACCAGAGTTACCGTGTGAGGCTGCAGTTTTCCACCACCAAGGACGATGTGGCTGCCAGTATGGAGGAGATTAGAGCGTAGGTCTAGGAAGTGCAAGAGGGGGCCTTGGGAGGAACAGGGCCTAAGGGGCTGGTCCCTGAGATGAACTAAATGAAACATCTCTTCCCCGACCTGTCCTTGAACTTGTCCCTGTCCTTGATCCTGTACCTGTACCCCAAAAGCCCATGTCTAGACAAAGGTAGAATGAGGCATGGACAGAGCTGCCATGTAGTTGTGAGAGCCGTGCTGCAGAAGAGCACTGTCCAAGAAGAAAAGATTTCCCATTTCTAATTCGTACAGAAGCATCACCTGTTGAGCAACAGCGCTAACACATCCTTTCCACTCACATGACCAATTCTACTGGCCCAGCCCTGGCCACAGTCCTGGGCTAAGTTGTCTACACCAGGTTTCTGTAACACCTGTATCTTTTGTATGTAGGGCTCTTATCCAGGCAACCAGGACTACTATGTATGTTGTGACTATCCAGAACATAGACTCTATGGCTCGGTGAGTGTCCCCAGGCCCATTGGCTGGACTGAGGAAATAAACAGTAGCCAGAGAGGCCTATGGGTAGTCCTGGGATGCTGATATATCTCCTGTCCCATTCCAGGGCACGAGCCTACTCTTACCTCGATGCCTACTTTGTCTTCCCCAATGGGACAGCCCTGATGCTTACTGAGCTGAATATGTGAGTAGGGCTGTTGGGGAGGGTAGGCAAGGGTAGGTGGAACAGGAAGCCCTGGGGAGGTCAGTGACTCTGGGGTCTGAGCAGGGCTCTGTGGCAGGATGATCCGGAAAGACCAGGACTCACTGAGGCAGCTGCTGCAGCTGGGGCTGGTGGTGGTGGTGAGTGTGGTGGGACAGAAGTCATGGATGGGGGAGGGATGTGGATTCCACAGCCTCCTCAGCCTCCTCCTTCTTCAGAGCTCCCAGGAAAGCCAGGACTCTGACCAGCAGAAGCAGCTCATCAGTGTCATCATAGGACTGGTAGTGGCGTTGGCGCTGGTCCTAGTGATCATGGTTGTGGCCCTTGGGTGTTTGCGGAAGAGGTACAATTTGCATGGCCCCCTGTGCCCTCAACTCTCTTCTGGCCCTGCTGCCCATGCGTGGGGTGGGTAGAAAGAACTTGGGGTCAAGCGGCAGGCACATATGGATGAATCACCTTCCCTCTTGTGCCTGTTTCCTTAACTGGAAGGAAAAGTGATGGGCAAGGCACTAGATTCCTCCATGAATCTGGGGTTGTAAGGGCTGGGAGATGCCTAGCACATGCCAGCACTTCAAACATGGTGCCGTTGCCACTTCCCAGAACATAGTCAGCAGCCTCCTGACACTAGGCATCACTGCTGGCTGCCCCTGTAGCCTTTGATAATGCACTTCCCTGTGCTGGCTGCCTTCTACTCCCTGCAAAATGGAGTTAACATTCTCACCAGGGTCTTTGAAAAGCCACATTAGCAAGGCCATAGTGGACAGTTGGTGTGCGTATGCTGCAAATGTGACTTCTTCCTGGTTCAACAGCTATAATAGGAAGCTTCGAGCTGTGAAGGCTAGCAAGGAGGCCCAAAAGACAGCTGAGGGGGTGACATCCTCACCTGCTGCTATCCCTGGGACTAACATGTACAAGACCGAGCGGTGAGCAGGGGCCAAAGGGCAGGCAAGGGAACTTCTGAGGTGGCTGAGAGCTATGGCCACTTGACCAAGCTTTCTCCCTAGGGCCAACCCCGTGCTGAACCTTCACCCCGAAGAATTGGGAGTGGAGTGCCTCTCCTCCTCCAGTGACTTGGACTATGTCAGGTAAGCAGCATCTCTCACTACCAGGCAAGCTGATGGCAATGGTAGTTGCGACAGAGGTGGTGGTGAGGATAATGGTGGTGGTGCTGATAATGGTGGTGATGGTAACAGTGATTTGGTGGTTGTCTTAGTTTGTTTCTTCATTGCTGTGACAAAACACTCTGACCACT